GTTTTCAATTGTGGATTTAATCGAAGAAACTGGATGAGTTGATTTTCTGTTAAAGATTCGCCAACCATTTCGAATCGAATCAATGATTTCCAGCAACAATTAGCGATCATATGCAGAACGTCTCTCGTTTCTAGCCAAAGATCAGAATTATCCCAACAAATTGACTGCACAGACAAACCGAAAATGCTGAGAAAAGATTTCAACCGATGATGGTCCAAATTGTTCGATTCTTTCATATTCACTTCACGATTTTGAATAACCAATTCCTTATACTTTGATGGGTAAGCGACTTTTGCATTTTTTTGAAATTGAATGCACACCTCTGCCACATTCAGATAGTCTCGAACGGTCGGTAGTTTTTGTAGGATTTCATAAATACAATCATCGTTGAGTGCATTCAAAATATGCCGCGGCGAGTCTACTTCGGGCACAATGTTCAGGTCGTAAAACAAACGGGGAATAGCTATGCGATATTTATACGCCAGATGAAAGATTTCGGTTAAATTATCAGAGTGAACGTTTACTTCGTCCATGTAAATAAATTGCAAGAAATCCATAAAGACCGATGCTGATGTTGTTGGTAGTTCAATATCACTTTTGGATTTGTCGGTCGACTTTCCGTATAACAAGTCGTAGAATACATCGCTTGCACTTGATAAAATTAGTTTATGGGCTGCGACACGATCCCTTTTATCGCCACACACAAAAAAAACATCGGCTGTTTCCTCATCCAGATACAATTTTCGCAAAAACGTTGATGGCAAATAGTTTGCCTTCGATTTTGGAACGTATCCGGTATCAATATCGATTCGTTTAAGTCTTGAGAGGATTAGTTTCAAAAATGACGATGTAGACATGTTTTAATGAAAAACAATTTCGATTTGATCACTTTAAAGAAATACTTAATTCAAATTTTTTTAATACAGCTCGAGAATGATGTAAAAAATATTTACTGAAATGAAGATGATTTTTGCTTGAACTCACAAATGGAACTGATGCCACTAACGCATTGCATTCATAATGTCACCTAGCATGACTTCAACCGACTCTCATACAGGTGGATCACACACTCACACAGACCCCTAATTACATTTTTTTCGGACAAGTTGTTTGGATCATTTGGTTGTGATAGTTAATGAGTTTATTTCTTGGTTTATTTTCAGTGCAAATTTGTCGACTTTTCTCACACCAATCCATAATTGCAGTCAACACACAAGAGATAAACCCCACAAATTATTTTAGGATTCCTATTAAAAAATGAATTTGTTAGGTTTCCTTATAAAATCGCAATATTTTAACAGGAATCCTGATAAATTGGCGCGCTTAAACGTCAAAGCCAACTTCACTGTGTTGAAACAAAACATGTTTTATTATTTAAAGGTTTCCTAATAAAATGTTGCCATATTATAAGGAAACCTTACAAATTAATATTTTAATAGGAATCCTAAAATGATTTGTCAGGTTTATTTTTTGTGTGAAAGATATATGAAAACTATTTTCCCTTTACATACCCAGAGACAAAAATGTGGTATTTTTCTCGTGGTAATCTTTTTGAAACCCCAGATGGCGCTAGCCCATGATTTTGGTAAATGTAATGAATCAGTTTTTTTCTCGAGATTTGGTTGGAAAAACAACCATTTTGAATAGGCCTTCGCCTCGAACTTCATTAAGGCACCGAATTTTTTGATACAGACAACTTAACTAACACAAGTGTGTTAAAGGCATCAATTTCATTAGTGAACGCACCCAAAAGACCATTAGTGAATGTTTCTACACATTTCTTCTATTTTCTTTTTTTTTTTCTATTCTTTAAAGTGAATTTAAAATTGAAAAATGTCTTCCTTTTACATACTGTTCATAATCAAATGTAAAAATCATTAGCATAGGCACATGTAAAGCGTCTCTTTCAAGGCTCTGTGTATCGTTATTTTTTATATATTTTTTTATATTATTTTTTGTTACCGCGAAATATTTGAGCTGAAACATAAAAAACAGTACTATTGAAAACAAAGGTGATAATTTAAACAAATAAATTAAATAAACGGTGTCATTAAAATAATAAAATACTGAACCAAGTACAACACAATTTTTTAGATCTGTCGACCAATAATAGCTATATCAGCCTTTGCCTATCAGGACCTCAGATCAAAGGGAATATCATACATTTAATAAAAGGTATGTTAGAATAAAAATATTGAAAAATAATAATTTATTCGAAACTTGCTTGATTCGATCAAATAATTCCAAATCACTTCAACATTCACAGCCATTCAAAGTAAAATCAATCAACAAATCAAAGGCCAAAATGTCTACCGACCAAAATACAGTCACGGACTATGCCAATCAAACGGTTCAAAGCCTTGGCGAGAAGTTGTATTTGGACGATAACACAGCTGATGTGTATTTTGCCGTAAAAATTGGTAACAACGACGATGCAATCGAACGAATTCCGGCGCATAAATGTCAATTGGCCGCGGCTAGCAATGTATTCAAAGCAATGTTCTTCGGCGACATCAAAGAATTGGGTGACGTGAAATTGACCGATATCCACGTCTCCGCATTCAAGGAGTTTCTTCAATTTTTCTACCTCAGTCGAGTTCAGTTGACAATGGAAAACTTCGGCGAGGTCATGAATTTTGGACAGAAGTATAATGTATCCGAATGTTTGAGCGTTGGCCACCGATTTTTAAGATATAATCTCACCGTTGATGACGTATGCTCCGCTTATGATACTGCTTTAGTTCTTGATCTCAAGGAGATGAAAGAAATGTGTGAAAAAGTGATTTCCATCAATACCGAAGATGTATTCCAATCCGATGGCTTTCTGAACTGCACCGTCGGAACGCTTCTCAAAATTTTGAAACTGGATCTACTGTCGTGCTATGAAACAGATGTATTTAAGGCGTGTGTATCGTGGGTCAAAGCAACGAGTCAACAAAATGAAGTCACCAAAGAATTAATGCAAATACACCTCGGTGAACTATTTTATGAAATTCGCTTTAGATTGATGTCGTTTGCGCAGTTTTCTGAACTTATTGCATCATTTGGACATCTATTTTCAGCCGATGAACTCAGGGAAGTTATTCAGATGATTCCATCCAAAGATTTTGAACCAAAATTGTTCAACAACAAATTACGCGGAGTAGAATGGAATGAAACAAAGATAATCGAGTATGTTAAAGATTTGAAAGGTGGATTTGGGAACAGATACCTCCACCTTTTGTTTCAAAATTAAGGTAATGGAAACAGTTGTGGAAATGGATTCCGATATTATTTTAAGTTTCCACGATTGTTATCTTCAGCCGGGTACAAACCAAGCCGTAAACGTTTTCAGCGGTTTGAAGTTCAATAAAATTTGATATAAATATCGACTAAGCATCAATTTCAAAATGAATAAAAACCAACAAATACATTGTAACTTTTTTCTCATAAAGAATTTTCAATAAAGAAACACCTTTTTTTCTATTCAATATTTTTTAATGCGATAAATAAACTGTGTTTGAGAAAAATATTTCTGAATATTATCATTTATCAGAGTCCAATGGTGGTGGCAGTTTTGCTCCATCACGTCACGTGATATGAAAATCTGTAAATCTGGTACGAGAACATTTTGCGATAATCTTTTGTATACTTTCCATACAAAAATTAGCTAAAATGGTAAAAACTGACCTATAAAAACACAATTCCAAGTCTTCTGTAGTTTTACGTTGTAAATTCTGTAGAACAATGGAATTTCTTTTAATTTATTTCAATAATTTCACGAACACAACAAAATCGAGATACAATAATATCTCAAATCGTCAACCTATGAAAACAAATGCTTTGTCGGAAGCAATGGACCCGTTTGTTTCTTTTCATTATATCTTTACATCAAAGTATAATGTATGCCTTATGAGTGTAAAGAAGAGAACATTCTGACTATGACTATCTCACGCCCAATATGGAGCATAAATATTCTATTGATTCACCAATATTGATGAGATGCTTACTTATACCTACTAAACGTATACAAACTAAATTATTATACGCAGCATTTTTCCAACTCAAAATTGAACACAATAAAGGGTGTTCATTTAGTACCAGCTGAGCTATATAGAAGTACAATGCTTGAAAACGAACGTCAATTTGAGAAAACCGAAGTGATGTCAAAAAAGTAGGTATCCTTTCAATTTATGCCTTTATCGAAGGTTAAAAGGGTCACTATCACATTACCTATCATCTTTGCGTTTTATTCCTCGATAGATCGATGGCGAATATGCCTCTGCCACGTGATTCCACCACCACAAAACGGTCACGAGAAGACAAATGGAGCGAAGATGGTGATCATAAAAAGTTAAAGATTGACATTGTTCCAATGCAACTGATTGAAATCAACGACGATTGCTTGGCGGCCGTTTTCCAGCATTTAGAACTGAAAGATATGTTCTCCATGGCATCAGCCGACAGCCGTTTTATTCCATCGCTTCGTCTAGCCTTTTCGCAATGTCACCGCAAGAAAGTATTGGTTGTGAGTTCTCACAACGACCCAATCACCGTCGAAACAGATTCCATCAAAATTCCGAAGAAAATGTCGATCAAATTTCTCGAATACTTTGGTCCACACATTGTGAATCTAACCGTGAACGGCATTTGGTTTGCAACTGACATTGAAAATGCATTGTTCAAGTATTGTGCTGAGTCCGTTGTGAATTTGAAGCTGATCTCAAGTGCGTGGTATGGCATCAACAAACCATTCAAAAATGTGAAGAGTCTTGTGCTCAAAGATTGTGTGTTGGGTCAAAAAATGTCGCGATTGATCAAGTGGTTTCCGAACGTCATCGCTCTGGACTTAAAAACCACCATTGTACTGCAGCCCAAATTATTGGCCGCACATTTTCCGAAAATCGAAAATTTAGGCTTTTATGGTTCGAACAAAATTCCAGCCGCAATAATCGGTAAAATGTTACAATTCAATCCACAATTGAAAGTGTTGGTCTTAAATCAAGGCTATAGCGTTGACTTTCTTCGGTCCGTCAATGAATATTTACCGCAATTGAAATCACTCTGGTTGGAAGTGCCCGAAGATCGATTCGAGAATTTTGACGATCAAACGATTCATTTTAAAAATGTCAAGAACTTGCTGTTCACACAAAATAAAACCGGACAAACGGGTGTATTTGTGGTCAACATGCCGTTGAAATTCACAAACCTGAACAAGTTGTTTTTGCATGGCACGACACATTTTGACGGTCACATTTTGAGCTTCATCAAACAAAATACAAATCTCAACGAACTGCTGCTATGGACCATCAAAGATGGATTGATGTACGATGAGCTGATTGCAATTGTCAAATCACTGCCGAAATTATGTCGACTGAAAATTATCGGTGACAATTTTACAGAAGACAATCGTTTGGAGCTTGTTCATGAATGTCATCGGACAAGTGTGACACAATTGTACATGGCATTTAAGAAGTCATCTAAAGTTCAAGCATTCCGAAAATCAATCGAAACCCAAATCAAATACAAATGGAATGTCATCGAATTACCAACACCAACCGAACTGATTATTTTGAGATTTGATAAGCTCTGAAGTTTATTTTATATTTTAGAGATAAAATCATGTTAAAAAGCATAGAAAATCATGACTTCACTGAAAAAAATCTAAAATATAAATCACCGATTTATTCGATCATATGAAGAAAATTCATTGTGTTTTTATTACTTGAAGAACTTTTAGCTCCAAACAAACACCATTGTATTTTAGAAACAAAGAACTGTTCTATTAGCAGTTGAAATGTTTTTATTAAAATTGGCGGAATATCTGTAAGTATATCTTGTTTGAAAAGCGGTTTCTATCAGTTTTGTTGTCATCAAATGTCAAAAGGTCTCTTTCAATTCGTAGAATTGGTCATAAATGTAAATATTCAACGTTTGCTTTCAACTGACCACTAATACAAGCATCAAGTGCTGAAATTCACAGACAGTTGGGTGTGTGTGCGAGTGACAGAATTGGCACAGCATCATTAGGTACAGAAGTTTATACGTAAAGATGACGAGAGAGAGTGCGTTCTAATGCATGTCATCGTTCAATGTTCATATCAAGCTTGGCTGAGACAGATGCCTAATTAGGTCCTGTGGCTTATTTTGCTTACTCACACATACATGACGCCAAATTAATTCTGTCAAAACTGTACTGCATTTGCACCAACAAAACGGAATCACTGATTATGTGAGTATCTTTTTTTGGGTTTTTTATTCTTTTTACAATAAAAACATATTTTATTTGAGTATCAAATCGGAGTCAAAAAAGAACCAAAGCGACCAAAGTGATTTTTTTTTTCAATAATAATCCGTTTTGACACTTTCAGTGTCTTCATGGTTCCACAAACCACTATATTCTATTTTTCTTTCGTTTTTAGTTTCAGTGAAAGACTAAAATGGCTGTCGAACCAGTTTGTGTCGATCAAAAAGACGAAATTGTCGTCCAAGATGCCGAAGAAGTACCACTGGAGCTAATGGAAGTGAATGACGATTGTTTAGAGTCGATTTTCCAGAATTTACATTGGAAAGATATGTTCAACATGGCCGTATCAGATGAACGATTCCTTACATCGCTTCGATTCGCATTTTTCCGTCAATATCGTAAAAAGCGTGTTACATTGAGAGCTGGTGCCCTTCGCACGGTTGATAATACCGGTGCGACATCAAAAATAACCATCGATGCATCGGCGTTTTTCGAATATTTTGGTTCAAACACATTGAAGCTGGCCATCAAACATCTGGATTCGAATCAAGTCAAAGTTGAAGAATCGTTGCTAAAAAATTGCACCAGCTCAGTTGTTGATTTGCAGCTATTTGAATGCAAATTATGTTTTGAGCAAATCAAAAAACCGTTCCATAAAGTCGACAGTCTAGTGCTCAAAAGCACTACCATCGGCGAAAACCTATCACGATTGGGCATTTGGTTCCCGAAATTGGTCACATTAAAATTGGAAAACGTTAAAACATCGCATCCGGAATCGTTGGAAAAACGATGGCCAGCCCTGAAACACTTGGTAATTTGTGATAATAAAGGAAAGATACCACTGTCGACCATCGAGACAATGCTTCACGTTAATCCACAATTGAAATCATTGCACTTATATCGTGATTATAATGCAGACTTTCTTCAGTCAATCAACCTACCACAACTTGAAGAGCTCTATCTTAAAGTACCCAATGATCGATTCATGAGCCTCGGTGATGGACAGAAGATTCTCTTCGAAAATGTGAAAAAGTTCGCCTTACTCGCATGGCATGAAGAAGATGAATTCGCACTGAATTTTCCATTCAACTTCACAAAACTGGAAACATTGTACGTCGGCGGTTCAACTAAATACAACTATGACGTTTTTAATTTCATCAAACAAAACATACAACTCAAAGAACTAATGCTGCTGAACCAAACAATCGATACTTATGGCTTTCATGATGGTGTGATGTCGATTATCAAAACATTGAAGGATCTTATGGCACTGACCGTTTCCGAGGACTCATTTTTGTGGAACGAACTTTTGGAACTACTGTCTGAATGTCATCAGTCTAATATAAAGCAATTTAGCATCAAGTTTGGTCATCACTTGGAATGTCGAGCATTTTGTCATTATGTTCGAGACGAAATCGAGAAGGAATGGACAGTCACCGAATGGAAGGCGACGAAAAATCCAAATTGGCATTATATACTGCGATTTGATAAGATTTAATTTTAAGACAAATTAATTTTTTTATTTATACCATTTTATACAGGTACTGATTGATATCAAATAAAGGACCGCCTCTTTTTATGTTGTATCAGCTTATTTCAAGAGTTTTATGTAGTTTATTTTCAATACAGCATTGCACTCATTCCATATCATTTTTCCATTCCTGAATACAAGAAAGAGTCGACAAGAAACGCATGGGCCGCACCTCAATGATGCCAATAACAGCATGGATTTTTTTCCACGGAATTTTTATCAATTCAAAGGTCACCCTAATTCACTTCGTTCCTTATTGGTTGCAATTGTTTGTGGAAATTGAAACGTTCATGAGCATTTGTGTGTATGGCCCCACTCAAAACTGAATGAATTTTCCACGCGATACCTATTGGATACCGATTGTGTTTATTAACACAATATAGTGGCTGTACATGTACATGGAGTACCTCCTTTAAATGGATTTCAATTGTGGATTGATCCACTGTATTTATACCAGTTCAACGTGCATTGTTGGAAATATCAAAAGCCCCATCAGCGAATCAGCTTCCATTACATTTGATTCATTCAAAATGTGTACGATTCCCCACGCTATCGCTGATAGTCCTTCAATGTGAATATTGCTTACGATTTGCTATGGTCAAAAGTCAAATACCACGCCTCTGATCTATCAAATCGAACTTTTTCGCTATTTCTCTTTGGGTTTTTACATAATTGCGTATTTGTTATACAATTATCCTTCTTCAAAAAGAGAGATATTATCAAAAATTATTCATTTCAACATAGGCTGACTGTGTGTGTGTTTTTTTTTTCATGCAAAAGCTACTAAAAACTAATTTTAAAAAAAACGGAAATTATTTGAAAAAATCATAATTTTTGGCTTTTTTTATACATTAATAACTAAAAAACGCTTGAATTCCGATTTCATTCAAATTAAATAGCATCAAATACATTGAACATATTCACGCGCGAACTGTCAAAGCGACACATTGTCACAGGGAAGATTAGTGAAATTTATTCGAATGAACACACGTACTGTGTTAACATTTAGATAAATTCAATAATTGTGGGAAAAAACTAAATTGAAGATATTTTTAGTGTTTTTATCACTAAATCAAAGAATTTGATATCAAAATTATATCAATTGTAAAGAAAAACCATTGAATTGGGAAAAATGACATCATCACAGGTAACATTTGAAACGAACTCATTTTCACCATATTCCATTTTGTATCTTCGACACACAATGTCATGCAAATGTGATTTGAACGAGCAAAAAACCACCAGATTGACATCTTTTGCTAAGCGATTTCGTTTTTGTATAGTTTCCGAAGGTTGAACCAGATTTACTCTGCTGGCATTGCGATGAGGATGCAGCAACATTGAAGTGTGGCTATTGTAATCGTTCGTTTCACAGGAACTGTGAAATAAATTCCGATGCGGTCATCGAAGAGGACAATTGGCGTTGTTCGGTTTGCTTTGCAATTGACGAGAAAAATGACAAGTAAGCATTTTTTGTAAAAATTTTCTTTTAAGAAGGTTCTGGGTCGTTTCACATTTACAATGTTTGACAGAAAAAAATTGAGTTTGTAAGACTGAATTCGTGAGTCATTGGTTTAGTTGGAAACAATTATAACACATATTTCTATACAGAATACAATAAAACATTGAAAGTACCCTTTTTAAAAGAATTCGATTAAATGATTCCCAAATGTTTCGATATTTACAGGGAGAATGAACTGAAAATGTTGCCCGTGCTCATGAATAAAATTTGGAAAGAAAAGTCGGTAAGTGCGATCAAGTGCGATTCAATCATATTTTTAGCAGTGATGATAAAGACCTCACTGGGAGCGTGTGAAAGACTTCATTGGAGCATTCTTTGTCTATCGAGTTGGCCAGCTGACTACTTTCTGACTACTTTGGAACAGTAGTTTGCACCCACGGTTTTTTTTTAATTCTCTGAATACATAATGAGTGGCTTGTAGAGATGCAAAGAAAATGTTCATGAACCGCTGTGAATTTTTAGTAGTTTTTGAGGTTATCTTATTAAATTTAAATACTCTTTTCAGCTCAATTTGTTGAAAAAGCCAATTCCATGGGGTGATTGTTCAAAATCCATTACCAATGCCATCGACTTGATACAAATCAAAGAGAAAATCGATGAATACACCAGCTTTGCCGAATTTCAAAGTGACATTTCTTGGATACGACACAACAGTGTGCTTTTGTACACAGGTAATCATCTCTTTTACATCACAAAACCATTATTCCCTTCACATTACATGAAATTGTTCATTTTTCATCCAAAGATGATCACGAGATAACAAATGCGGCTCGTGTCCTGTCGAAACTCGTCGAAGATGAAATCACCGACATTAAAAATTGTTCCGAGGTTTGTCTTGCCCAATTGAAAAAAAAACACTTTCCTCTTCAATTTTCAGTTTGAGATTTGCTAAAAAATTATTTTAAATTTTGTCTATATTACCAGTGTTACGAGAATGCCGTCAAGTATCCGAAGCGATGGTTCACGATGGTTTGCTCCAAACTGCACATTGTTGTCTGGTAAAAAGAGCACACTGTCATATGAATGTCTCTAGTTATTCGAATATTGACTCTAAATCGTTGGTTTTTTTTTCAGGGCGAAGTTGCCTGGTTTCACACATTGGCCGTCCAAGGTTATGGCCATCAACGATCAACAGATCAGTATCGATTTCTTCGGTGATCACACACAAGCCAAGGTAACTTATTATGTGATTTCGTATGTGTGCCAAAGATTTGGTGCATGCAATGGGAAACAAACAGAATTCATGTTATTTCTAATTTAAGGTACCGGCCAAAAGTTGCTATTTGTATTCAAATAAAAGCCCAAAACCTCCACGCACAACATCCAAAACATACTTATCAGCATTGGAAGTAAGTCAGATGAATGTCTCTAGACAATAGTTTTTCGAATATTAAATCGTTGGTTTTTTTTTATTTTCAGGAATGCAACGCTTACATACAAAATGTTCGAAATAAATGCGGTTCGTACAAATTAGCGGAAACGAAAACGATTTTTGATCCGGCATCGTACGAAGACTACATTGATGGACTGTTCAAGGTAAAAGAGGAGCCTGCCACTGTGCTCGACAGCGAGGAGGAAGACGATGATGGTGAGATGGATAGTATCATGGATTTGACGAGTGACACAGAAGAGGCGACACCATCAAACCAAATCTATGAAACATTCAATGTGGATCTGTCAAAACCAGGTACATATTCGACTGGTAAAGAATTGATTATTTTATTGAAACGAATCGATGATCCACCACATGAAAAAGGTATTCAAAACGGTGCTGCCGCTGCTTCAGGTGCAAATATGAAGCGAAAGAATGCATCTACCGAAGATCAACCATTACAGAAGAAGGTTCGATTTAGTGACGAATTCGGAGGGCAATTGGCGCAAGTACACCTGGTTGAACGGCACGAATACAGTCCCGACAGAGAACTGGCCGATACCGATGAAATGGTCGAAAATCACACCAATGGATCACATGAAAATGAATCGATGGTAAATTATGTTGATATTGAAGAGAAAACATCAAACGGTGCCGTACTCATTGCCAGCGAGACTGGCTGCACAAAAATCGATGATGAAAATAGCACGGCCTCAACTGGGAAACATACATTTGAAAAGATTGTTCAAAGCATGAGATTCATTCAAGGAAGCGTACTTGACTTGATGCATTTACATGAACTTAAAACACAAGCACTGAACAGCGATTTAATGACCTCTAGAGAGGAATTTACCAGGGAATTGACGGATCTTCGTGAAAAAAATAAACAATTGTCGGCGCAATTGCAAATGGTTAAAGATGACACAGCCATTGAAATTAAAAATATTAACAAAAACTTTGGAATACAAATCGCCGAACATATCGAAGCGAATAATCGACAAAATGCCAATGAAATTGAAGCGTTGAAAATGGAACACGCTAAACAATTGGCCGACATTGAACAGAAATTCAACGATGAAAAGGCGGAATTGATGGAGGTTAACAATCGAGAGAAAATCGATCTTATCAATGAAATTGACGCGTTAAAAGAGGAAAAGCGGGCCAAAGTGACTGAAATGCAGCAGAAAATTCATGATGAAAAGGTCAATTATGAACTGAAGCTTAAACAAAAGTGCATTGACATTGCCGATCAAGTGCGAAAAAATGTCGAGAAAAATATGAAATGTAAAGGCTGCGGAATTATAGTGGAATATTGCAGTGCTGCATGTAAACAAACATGGTGATTTGACAAGCTAGTTTATTTTATATTCTCTATTTTATTTTACACATTTTTAAATAACGAACGATGAAGACATTGTTTGGAACCAAAATTTGATGGGGCCAATAAATGAATCAATACTCAAATTCCAAATACGATTTGAACATTGATGACATGATCAGGGTCCAGTCGGTGTCTTTATTCTTTGTTGTGTTTAATATGTTGACTTTCGTTAAACTCTGTCATGAGATCCAGGACGTTGTGTCTTTTTAGTTTTCCCATGTTACCGTGGGCAATTCCAAAAATCTTTTGATAATTTTGAATTTTCGATTTTTTTTGCACTGCAGGAACACTTGGAAGGATCCAAAAGTGTCCGATAGCGACGACGGGCGAAGTGAAACAAACGCAAATGAAAGCGATTCAGTCGACGATTGAAGCAATAACACTTCATCAAGCACAATCTACTGGAAATTAGAATATTTTTATACATTTTATTTTTACATTTAAAATGATCAGCATTTATGGAGAAAATTGTATTGATTCATTATGAACTTTGAGAATAAAAAAATCAATGTGACATACATGTGTAAATTTCAGATTTTGTGCAATTATTATTTTGGTTAAGAAAAAATAAGCTCTATGGTGAATTTGTTGCTTCTTTCACTTGAAATGAGGCCTATGGAGAAAGATTCAGATACATCATTCCAGTGCTGTTTTCTGAAATATTTATAAGATTTATTTACACCGACCCGCTAACTATATGATACGACTAAATTTGTATTGAAATTTAAGTAGATAAACAATGTAAAGCTGAATTTAACGTTGTTGATTTATTTATATCTTTCGAACTACATATTTGTTCTTAAATATCCTAGAGGATAACAAAATCGTATATGAAATATTTTTGATAAATTTATTTTTTACTTCCCAAGTATATCACATTTCAAGCAATATCCCAATATCAAATGTGGGTGATTATATTGTTCTTATTTCATTTGTATAAAAACGACCAATCAATAAATTTCATAATAATACTATTAACGACTTAATAGTAGTTAATCTAAAATTAGAGTAAAAAAAATATTGCATGTTTTTAAATGTGACAAAAATGTTATGCCACTTCATTGGCGCAAATTCGGCAAAAATTGAGTGTTGTAATCAGGCTTCTGGACGTTGAACCGCCTTTTTCTCGGAATTGCATCGTAACATCCGTGTCAATTTGAACGTTTGATATCAATGGTAAGTATTTGAAGCGGCAACCACTCGGATTTTGCTTAAACTCAATTTTGTATTCAAAATCTGGTTTGATCAAAATCGGCACTGGCATTCCAATTGTAGTTTTGCTGTTGTAGTTTAAATACACCTTTTCTTCAAACAATACCAATTTGTGGTCCAAATTCCGAGCATCAATTTCCGTGATTGTAACTTCGCTCACAAAATCCGTTGGTCCCGAACGTTTTGTTTCTCTTTCCTTAAACGGTTCAAGTAAATCCGCGCAAACAATTTGATGCAAACAAATCGACCGATTTGTGAAAAACGTTGTGTATTCATATTGTCGCAATCTATTGATAACCTTGGAAGATGTTGTCAGACTTTGTTGTAAATGACATACCGCCACTTGATGACGATTCCCCTTAAATTTGGTCGATTGAAATGACTTGTTGACAATCATTTGAATAATTTCGCAGTAGTCATCGCCGATAAAAAGATTGCCGTGCATCGGTAACAGCGTAAGAAAATCCTCAAGTGTCATCGAACCAAAGTCAATGTAATAAAACGATTCGCCGAGATAATTTTCAAGCAACATTCTTGTCACATAATTTTCACCGCTGGTCGTTTTAACCCATTCAATACATGCATTGAATACATCGAGTTCGGTGCACGATAGATGATTCAATTTTAAAATGTTTAACAAAGCCAACGGTTTGCATTCCAAAAAGTCCAACGATGCAAATATCTTTTTTGTATTTGTCGCAATGAGTGTTTGACATGCTTTTCGAAAATCTTCCAATTCCAAAAGGATGGCCGCACCGTAACCGGAACAAACATTTTCATCGGTAAGAGTATGCTTCAAATGCTGTTTGTACTTTTGCAGAGCGTCGGTAACATTATACTTTTCCGCCAAATAAATGCCATCGTGCACATTTTCTGGCGCCAATTCCACCTCTTCACGATAGAAAAACTGGAGAAATTCTTTGAACACGACTGGATTTGAATCAGCAATTTTTACTTCACCCGCCTCTTTTAACGAACCGCAAAACATCGTTTTGAACACATCACTTTTGGCGGCCAGGAGCGTTTTATGGGCTGCCACTTTTATCCATTCATCATCGGCCACTTTGAATAGAAAATGTACGTCGGCAGTTTCATCATCCAAATAGAAACTAAGCACGTTGATCGATCCGATTTTGTAGGTAGTTGGTGCTGACATTTTTATCGCTGCCGGTTTTTTGCGTGCAATTTGTTGACGAATTTTTTTTCGTGGAAAAAATAATTGGTTGGCCTTGTTTTTACGAAAAAAAGTAACGAAAAAGAAAAAGGGAACGTATTTGATGACTATATCAAGGTATTTGGTACTATTTCCATTCAAATTGAGCTTTTGTCCGTGGACTAGTGCTTACATTTAGTTTTTCCTAGACTTTTCCACAATTTTCTCCGTTGATGACGATGGAAGTGATCAGAAATCAAAGATGAAGTTTGACATTTGAATGGCGCATCGAGTGCGTTCACATAATGTAAAAGATAATTGTCGCCGGAAGCGTTCATAGCATGGCATTTGTACCCAATGTTCCTAATTAGAATACAATAACAACAAAAATACATTCAGTTTTCATAAATGAATGGTATTTTTTGTGTATTTTGATTCAATATGAAAATCAAAAAGATTTAAAAAAAGAAAATATATTTGAGAGCCTGAAACCCAAAACAAGTTATAAAAATTCTTTTCGAAAAAAAAGCATAAGAATGTATTTTAAATGAAAAAGGCGATAAAAAAAAACTGAGAGTTAAAAGAGCATATACAGAACTGAGAATTAAAACAGAATATAAATTCAGTTAGCGGTTCCAAATAAAAAGATATACAAGGCGAATAAAAACTGAGAGTTAAAATACAATATACAGAATTGAGAGCTACTTTTGCTCTCAGTATTCTATGTGTTGTTTTAACTCTCAGTTCTCTATATTCTCGTTTTGTGCTCAATAATTTCTTATGCTCTTTTTCCGAAAAGAATTTTTATAATTTGTTTTGGGTTTCAGGCTCTCATTTGTTCTTTCGACTTTAGTTGGTTCTTTTGTTATTTTAACACTGGAATGACTTGAGATGTCAAACACGCCATTCAAAGCCTTTTGCATAGTTTTTTGAATTTCATAAAAACAGACGCTCTTTTATCACGACATTTTTATCGTATACAAAAATTAAGCAGCAATATGTCGACCATCGAGTAAAAATTGTGAAAAATTCCACAAGCTCAGCATATTTTCAGTGGAAGCATCCAAATCGAAATATATAGACACAAACAGTTCAATTCAAAAAGACGCATAATACTGTGGTATGAATTAGGACATTGTGTGTAGTTCTTGCAGTAATTTTAGCATCATTTCCAAAAGAAGCATTGTCTTTCTGTTTGTTGAAAATATGAAATTCCGGTCCTCAAGCAGATTTTATCCTGAATTTTAGCACAAACTAATGCATGCGAGATTGTATCAATCAGTCCTTAGACAACATTTGCCTTGAACACAACGCTCAAACACCGGCCAACATTTAGCTAGAATAATTCGAACACTAAACAAGATGTAAGTTTATCGTGAATTTTTTCGTTTATTTCGTCGAGATTTCGGACCAAATAATTCGGACAACCTTCAACTATTTATTTGACATTATTTTCATTTATTTTTTTTTGCTGCGAAATAGGGAAATGGGAAATTCGTCGTCGACCATAGAATTGTCATCGATGAAAATCGTGAAGCGACCTCGTGCCCAGGAGCCCATGGAACAATTGAATGTTCGCCAAAAGAAGGCAAAACTGACGTTACCTTCACAATTGAAATTGGTGGCCGTAAACGATGACTGTTTAGAGGCAATCTGCAACTATTTGGATTGGTTTGACCTGGTGAATCTGGCCGAAAGTAATGTACGATTCGTGCCACCCGCTCGATGGGTATATTCACGTCGCTATCGCATGAAACGGGTTGATTTGAACATTTCTCCGATGTCGACCACAGCTAGTTGTCACTCGATTGACATTGAAGCCTCCACAGCGTTGCCGTTCTTCCGTCAATTTGGTGATTTGGTATCGAAGATGCGCGTCAATTTCTTGCACAAACGTATGCTGAAAATCGAAAAATCATTACTTGTCAACTGTATCGATTCATTGACTGAATTGGAATTGGTGAAATGCCATCGCGATCACTTCGATACGCTCGTCAAACCATTGGAAAACATCGAAAAACTGAAAATTTCGGACAGTTTGTTGGGTAAAAAATTACCTTTCTATTATTTAATAATTGTTATTGATTCTTTTTCGATTATTGCGATTATTTTCGATTATTTCGATTATTTTCGATTATTTCGATTATTTGTCGATTATACATTAATTCTAATATCCATACTATGACATTGCCAAATGACAATGAAGAAAACAGAATGTATGTAGGATAGAAAGAGAGACTGTGTGTCTGGGCGACTGAGTGAGTGAGAGATTATTGAAAACCATTAGAATGTAAGGCTTGACCACATGTATTTATTACATTATTGTCGCGACAGCAAAAAGATTTGCTGAAAATTGAGATTTGATTGTGGTGGTAGTAGTAGCAGTGGAGAGAACAACACACATGGAATCAATGTTGTACACACAATTTGCTATTCCATTTTTTTTTCTCTATGCACAGATCTCCGCTACAACGATCATCAATCAATCATAAAAATCTCAATTTTCAGCTATTTTTTAGCTATCGCGATTTCAGTAATGGAAAGTTTTCATTTAAGATTTCTTTTTATTTATGTGGTCGCCTTATTTCAATTTATTGATATATACACTTGTAAGCTACGATTATTTTTCGATTATTTGTCGATTACTTATCGATTATTTCCAATTAATTCTTTTGTTTTGTGATTCTCCCCTTAGGTAAAAAATTGGGCCGGCTAAACATTTGGTTTCCGAATGTCGTTGAATTGGAACTCACCCATGTCAAATTGGTGCAGCCAAAATCGTTGGAAGTGAAATTCGATCGACTCAAAACATTGGCCATTCATCAGTACGAAGAGCTGATTGAATCATTGACGATCGATAAAATGTTACGATTGAATCCACAGCTACATACATTGGTGTTACGAAGCGAATTCGATTTGGAATTTCTTCAATCAATTGGTGAAAATTTGACACATTTAGAGGTACTTGAAGTTTGGGCACCAGTCGATCGTTTTTACAACTTTGGCGACGAAAAGGTACGCTTTGAAAACGTCAAGAAATTCACACTTTCCAGCCAATTTGAATGGGGTGAATTCATCGTGAACGTTCCGTTCGAATTTCCAAAGCTGCGATATCTCAAATTCGACGGATTCAACGAGTTCAAAGGTCAACTCATGAATTTCATCAAGCTCAATCGTGACGTGGAACAATTACATTTGGTGCCGAATCTCGAATCATGGGACGATTTGGACATCAATGATTGCAACGCAATTGTTACGGCCATGCCAAAACTCAACGAATTGGAATTTTGCGGCGACACTTTTACACACACCGAACTTGTCGCGTTTTTGGCATTAAACAAGAGCTTGAATAAGGTACGGCTATGGTTCATCGAACCACCAATTGACTACCACTTCCGATGCACATTGCAAAAGAATTGGGATCTCACAACGCGTGTCATCGAACATGGATGCTGGGATGCATGCACAGTCTTTGCACTTGAACTTAATCGCAAAGATTAATTAACAACAGTTTTGCATGAATTTCAAAGTATTTTAAGAATCGGAACGAATAGTATGGATAGATTATATCGAAGAAAAATTAACATAAAAACACAATCATAAACGACAAACATTGATAATGAATGCTTTTGTTTAGAAACAGTTTATTTACTTTTGCATTATGGATACAATAAACCCCGTTTAAAATAGAACACAATGGTGTTTTTATTTTGTGAAATTTCCTGCATTTTCATTCTCGGGCAGTGGTCAACAATTCAATCACGTGTGAATCATTTTGAATGGTACGAGTATTACAGCATTTCAGAAGACAAGTCAGGAGAAAAAAAATAGGTAAGTATCTTTGGTCCGCTTTGGTCAGAGAAGGAAAAAATCTTATCAAAAATCATTATTTTTGAATCGAATGTAAAAAAATGAAGAAAGTGAGATTATATTGAACGGGCAGACAAGGTAATGAGGTACTATCACACTGCTGAAAATTACCACTTGCATAGCATAGAAAGATGGAATTGAAAGGAAGAGGCCAGACCAGTTTATGAAGCTTACTTTGAAAGAGAAAATAAGGTTTTTTTTTAATGAATTGTGGAAAGATTCCTCATGAATAACTCTCTTTCATTTTACTTTTCCGCCCACATAATGTAGAAAAGGTATTTCTCTTACGATCTCATTGAAATATCATTCAAATTCAAGCACCATTCAAAAGCCAAATTCAATCATGGGCTACTTTGGCTGACTGAAATTAAATCAAAAAGGTTAAAGAGAAGACAAGAGAGACCATTATGTGGGAAATTTTGGGAATCATTAAGCAGAAAAAATTCATCTATTCATTTACGATTCAAATGTTCACTTATTTACTCCCTGAAATCGTTACGGCTTGATGATAAAATTGTATTTAACAGCAAAATTCAATCAGAAAACCCATTTGTTCAAATACACATTCTATTCATACCATTGCCATGTTTTGTTTCTTTCAATTCTTTCTCCTTTGAAAACAGACACCTTTTTTGTTTCGTTGTGTGTTTAGTATATATGATCGTAAGTGTGAACTATTGTGAGTCACTCGCCGAATCAACATGCACCAATCTCATATTTTCTTTTTGTTTTCGTTTATTCTATTCCCTACGGTAATCTTTTTTTCATATTCTTCTCATACACACGGAAGGTGGATGATTCATAAGAAAAAACAAAATGTAACATTAAGTCAGTAGGGCAGAGCATGGGAATAACGACAGCTCGGCAACGCTTTATTAGAGATTAGTACCGCTGGCAACCGCAGAACTATATAGAATTATATGAAGTTATTTGGTGGCGTTAGTAAGCAGTGTTGTCTTATTGCCATACTTTGTAGTAGGGAGTACCTTTGCTTCAAGATCCCCCATGATTTGCTTTCCGCCAAAGCAACTATTTCATGTTTTATATTAAAAGGGGAAAAGAATTTTGTACTGAATTGTATTTGAAAAGATCGGAAAGACTTTTCCTGCCTCATTGTATGAGACACTCTGCCCAAGTAGAATAGTGGAAGGATGTAAAGCACTTTTATACCGTCTCTTTGAAGTATGAGAAAAATCTTGCACTTTTCCCCTTATCCTCCCTACTAAGTTTGACGTTTTATAGTGTCAACAACTCTGACTTAAACTAAGAAAAGCCCATTCTTGCAAACCGTCAGCAATATTGTCGTGCATAAACAAATACTCAAGGAAAACAATAAAACATCAGAGCCGCTTTACATAACAGTTTCAGTTGTTCTATAACAATCAATTCGCATAGTTTTTATAAAAAAAAATTTGAAATTACAGTACATCACAAACGATTTATTGTATTGGAATTTTGAAACATTTTTTACTACCAAGACCGGAAAATATTCGGCATGATCGTTTTTCTTACCAAATAATTCCACTGAAAAACCGTAAGTCGATTAATCTTAGACTTAGACTTAGACTTTACCCTTCTGATTTGTGTGAAGTAACAGTAACATTATCCATCGCAAAATGAGCCATTTTCATAAAGAGACAAGGAGCGAACTTCAATATTTATTGTTCATGTTTCACTTCTCTTCGACATTGAATTACAGCTCGAATATTCACAATGGTGTGCACAAGAAGTCAAAAACAAGAAATGGAAATAAATGACACGGAGGCAGCTGATGAGATCGAGTCATGTCTCATATCATGGAAAATTTCAATGGTAGAGCATAAAATTCAGTGCATTAAATTGGAAATCAACAGAGTAAGTTACAATTACTTGTCAATGTCTAAAATATACACAATAACTAAAGGCAAATAGGCGGGCTCTAACTTAACGAACCAAATATTTTCCTTTTTAATACAATAGTTTCAATTTTTTACTTTCCAAGAGTGCAATTTCAAAAAATATTTTTTCACTCTGGAAACAGTTGGAAAAAAACCGGTCTTTTTGACACAACATCAACTTTGCTACATTTATATTTTTGCTTTCTGGCATCAAGTCACTCGAAAGACAAAAAAGGTTAAAATTACATTGAACCTTCAGACGTGATTACAGATTTTGTTTGGAAAGATCATTTCCATCGAAAAAAAATTCAAATAAAAAAATCAAATCATAAACTCTAATTCAAATTTACGCAATCTCGTTAAAAAAAATGATCAATATTAGAATTCTCAGTTCCGTAAAAATTGGATCGGCCTCAAAAAATTCATTCAAAAAATGCCGCTCAAATCCATTGCCTTTGTTTATATGAACGCACTTCAAAAGTGATGTCATTAAATGCACTCATCACTGCGAAGCGCCAAGTGTATGTACGGCCATTATACGGAATGTTGTTGCTGTCAAGAGAAAACCGTATTGTTTATATTGCATCACCGGCATTTGCACTGTTTGGCCACGCATAATTGAATACATCGCACAGTTAGAAAAAAAGTGTCGTATTTTTTAGCTTAAGAAAACACAAAAAATTAAAATTAGCATGAGTGTAATGGAAAACCGACAGGTGAAATAAAATTATGTTTCTGATTGCTCGTGTATTTACTGTTTTATGTTGTCCATTTTATTTCAGGTTATACATGATAAGTTTTGTTGGCGTTGCTGCGGAGAGGATACATCGCTGAAATGTTCCAATTGTATTCGATCGTTTCACCAAAATTGTGCACCAAATGCAGCGAAAGACGATAGTAAATCCAACAGTTGGCTGTGCTCGGTGTGTGTCAATTTGAAAGAAGCTGAAAATACAAGCAAGTAAGTACTCATCGTAGCGGGCGTATGTCGCTCACTCGATAAAATGTTGCGCAATTACCTAGTCATACGGTGTATTTTATTCATAATACCAGTAGAATGAACTACCGATTTGATGTTATTAACAGATTTTTGCACGGCTCTGTATCATTTTTAAAGTGAAGCAAACAAATGACAGCATAAAAGAAAAATTGTGAGTGGTCGGGTAATTACTCCACAGACTACTGAGTGTAGCTATGGTAGTATGAATAAACAAAAACACCGGTACATGTACGTACAAAAGCCGACAACACGTGCACAATTCATTATTATCTTTAATACAAGGTTATAAAACCGTGTAAGCTAAGCGTCCTCTGGTCTATTCAACATTTTTTTTTTTTGACAGTTCATTAGTTCAATATAAGAGATTAATGCAATTAATTTTCAGAAAATTGGAATTGGACATGTTGCCGCTACTCATTGAAAAGGCGTTAAAAAACAAAACGGTGAGTTACTCTTGTTGTCGCCAATTTTCGTTTTTTATTTTGTGAAACGTCATAGTTGGCGACGAAGAGGCCGAAAAAAATACGTTGTTCGATAGTCGCTAAATAAAATCGAAAAATATACTGTTCGATAGTCGCTATTTTATTAATGTAATCCAACCACTCCATTGAATGGATACCTATCAAGTCTATATGTGTCACAGAGAATGAAAATAAATTATGCAACCACCCCTTCTTATACTTATGTATGCTTCTGTCAACAAGAGGGGTGAGATTCGTTAACATCTCAGCGACACATATGTTTCAATAGATAATTTTTTGTATCTAACCCTTTTGATGATCTCGAATTGGTTCAATCTTATTCCTCAATTTTAGTTCAATCTGCTGAAACACCCACTGGGACGTGATAGTTATCCAGAGTCATACATTACCGAGTCCATTGTCCACCCGGTCGATTTATCGAAAATAAAGCAAAAAATCGGCACCTACACAAGCTTCGACCATTTTCTATCCGATATTCAGTGGATCGTTCACAATTGCTTTATTTTGTTTTTGGGTAAATTTTTCGTTCACATTTTCGACTTAATTGGATGCACTAAATTTGTTTTTGTTCCATTCAAAATTTGATTCTCGTTCCCAAATTTGTGGTGATTTCCAGACAATCATCATCGAATGGAAATCGCCAAATCGCTGGTGGACTATATGGAAGAAGAGATAGAAATCGTCAAAAAATGCCCCGAATGTTACAACAATGCTGTCAAGTATCCGAATGATTGGTTCACAGTAATCTGTAGTGATCCTCACATAATCGTAAGTAACAATTTCCGCCTTTTAATTCTGAAAATCGAATTGATCGATGTTATTATTGAATTTTATCACCAGGTTTGGGCGAAGAAAATGGGTTTCAATTATTGGCCAGGTGAGTTTCATACCGTCATGCTCAGTGATTTTCTCTTCAACTCCATTGAGTTTATTCAATATATTCGTATTTTTGCAGCCAAGTTAATGTCAATCGACGGACAATTGATAAATGTTCGTTTCTTCGGTGATCACAAGAATATGGATGTCATGTCGACGAATTGCTTCTTATACTCCGAAACAAATCCGAATCGATCACGAAATACAACGGTGCTATACAAATCAGCATTAAAGGTAAACGTGCTTTTTATCACAAATCAAAATAATAATTTAAAAATTGTTTTTTTTTTCTAAAGGAGGTTGAAGTGTACATAAAAAATTGTCGTTCAAAATTTGGTGCATATAATCATGTCGATACGAAAATTCCATTCAATCCGGCACTTTTGGACAAATATATTGTGCAGGTGATTCCCGCTCTGGCCAATTCCAAAATGGTAAAAGGAATAAAGGCCCGAATTAAAGCGTCGGAGTCATCCACTCTAAAAACGACTTCAAGACCGAGTAGTGAAGATAGGGTCGACCGGACTGATGCAGCAGTCAAGCTGAATTTGAAGGAAATCAGTCCAAAGAAAAATGTTCTAATTGCGTTACACCGTATTGATGATAAAATGCCGAATGCCAAAAGAAATGGCAAAGAAGCAATGCTCGGTACACCGGATGGGCCGTGTGAAAAGAAGGCTAAAGTCAGTCAAGACCCCGAAAATATCGAATCGAAACATACTCCAATGGCAACAAGCCAGAGTCAGACTCAATCAGTTCAGAAACAGACAAATTCCAATGAGAATTCCGAAAGGAATCAATCTCAATCAGTCGAAAATCAGCCGGAAAATACCATTGTGTCATCGGTTGAAACGACTCTCGTTGAAGATCCGGAAAAGCCATTGCTTAATTCCACTGTTATAAAATGGCCGGAAAATGTAAAATCGGACGGTGATTTCGGTGATGTGAGTTGTATCAATGGTCAGTCGATCGAAGAGCCCACGTCAACGGCCACCCTTGAGGACACCGAATGGGAACAATCATTTGAAAAAGATCTCAACGACACCGTCCAGGCAGCAACGTATCACATGTATTCCTCGATTGCCAAAAATTTGAAGACAAAATTCGATGTTTTAAAGGAAAAACTACATGATGTCACCATCGAACGTGATCAAATCGTATTGAAAGCAGAACGAACAAAACAACGGACCAAAGATGACCATGCCAAGGAAATGTCCGATCTCAATGAAAAATACACGCAGGTCATTGCAAAAGCGAAAAAAGACGCCGAACACTTTTGGAAGGCCGAAATTGAGAAGGAAAAAACCAAAGGGGAAAACTCACTGAACGAGG